GTATACATGTCATCACAGAAACAAAATGTTTTTCTCTCTTTTCATTAAAAACTTTAAATGAAATTAGTTGAAATATGATTGAAGATAAATTGATGATTACCCACAATCAGTAAAAGATCTGCCGTAAGAAATAGCAACAACAGTAGGTCATTTTTCAGAAATTCTCAATTGGAGCTTATTCGTGGGCCGAGCATTACAACTATTATTAAATTAATTTATATTAAATTTTTACGCCATAACTGAGATAAAAAAGTGACGCGAAAATGCGAAGATGTATACTTATTAATGAACACATATTTGTCCAAATACAATTTATTAGCGCACAATTTATGTGCGCATAGTTAATTCTTATATGATCAAATAGTGGGTATCAGTCCGACGCAGAGATAAGACGCAGAAAGCATCGATAGGCGCCATAACCATATCTTTGAGCGAAATTACTGGTATCTCGAGAAGAAACCATTTTAGTTCAAAACCGACATAATTACAATTCTAAGTACAAAAACTGAACTAAAAAGCCACAACCTATATAGTTTCTTACGAGCTGATCAAAGACATTCATCCTGGCTTAGTCGTTAGGAACACATCTTATTTATTTTTTTAGTTCTTACCTAACCTTCTACATTTACATTTTGCTGCATTAGCCCTGCAACCAGCGCACGTATCGCACGACCGCACCAGCGAGTTACCGCCATGCGACGCCAAATTGCAACATCCGCCATCTATATCCGAGTCACACAAACTGCTTCGTAACGAGACGACCTTTCAAAATGGGGTATTGGTAGTTAAATAGGTACCGTCTATAGTATCTTGTCATATAAGCATAGTAAAGAATTAAAGTGTCTAGGTAATTATAAATTAAACGAACTTACTTTAAGTGAAGTTAAATTTTAATTCTACGAACTGCATAGTCTTGAACGATAATAGCAGAGAGAGTAATATACGTGCTCCAGCAGTCCTCAGTCACAAATTTTAGAGCCAAAATTAGCTCTATTCCGAAACTATAAAGCAAAAACGAAAAAAGTGTCTCCTTTCTGCTCCTAGGGCCAACTAAAAGGTTACTTCCTTAAGCTTAGAGATTTAAATCCTTTACTTTTATTGAGCCCTTTTCACAGTATTTTATTTAAATTTTTAATATTTTCATTCAATTTATATCTTGTCACAGTGACGAGGACTTAAGAGTCTGAGTTCAGACTCTCCCTTTCCCGCCAAGACATATCTCAGCGCACTTTCTGACACTATGGCCAACTGACAATATAAAAAGGAGTGTATAGTCTTTAGAGGACTTTTCACCTGTCGCCACCAAGGAAGCAACTACGGATATATAATCATAGTTGTAGACATAATCTCATCTTTATTAATTTATGTATTCTGTATTGTTATGTAATGATAATGTTCTGATTATTTGAAAATATTGCTTTATTGTAATTGTTTCGTATACGTCAATTTAAAAGCTATTAGTTATTTATTAAAGTACATTAAGATTAGAAGTGATAAGGGACAGGGTTAATTATGTTATAATCAAATATCGTGTCTAATATGTGTTTTATTATATATACATTTTTCATCATGATAATCATCGGTTATTATTTTTCTTTGTGAAATAATATAACATTTAAATGTTGCATTACCTATGTTGGCAGTACTGGGAGCAACGATCCAAAAATACGGTCTAGGAAATTTAAAATATGGAACCTATAAAGGATCCGAAACATCTGAAGAATTGCATTATTAAATATGTCTCCTTAGTGTGCGTGAAATATTATATTGTATTAGCAATGCTTACAATACGACACTGCAGTAGTGTTGCGCCAAGCGCTTATTTCATACAAAACTAATTTCATCATGATTTACTCGGAAAAACTAATGTCTCGTGGCTGCACGCAATAAAGATTGATGTTGCCCGAGTCTCAAAGATATTGTTAACTTCAAATCATTGCAAAATAATACTAATTAGTAGTATTAGTAGTACTAAGTAGAAATTAGTTTCATGAAACCTATTTCATCAAGCATAACACTTGTTTCTTAATATTAATTCGGATTAGTGAAAAAATACACCGCTTGCACGCGGTAACCACTGAAATAACCAAGCTCCTCAGCGCTCTGCCCTATTTATCCAGTCCCAGGGCAGACCGACCGCGGCAACAAGCCACTCCTGTTTATTTTACCGCAATGAATTTCCTTGCAATATTTTCTTCAGATTTTTTTAATTTTGAATACATTCGAGTACAATTCTCAGTGGCGGTCGCGCGCCCCCGGCAATCTCCAAATTGCCTCTTTATGTGCAGATGTTCCAACCCTCGGTTTTTCCGTCTTTTGAATGTCGTTTTGCTGTTAAATAACGTGCTCTTTTATTGTAAATGGAGTTTTCAAGTTCACTTCCGTAGCAAATATTATTGTAGCACATACAACGCACATAAACAATAGAATAAGCTTTAATTTTATTATTTGCCATACACAATGCGAATTCTGGCAGCGTAAACAAAATAAAAAATTAAACATTAATAAACCCCTGCATTATGGAGAATCTAATACAAAGAATGATGACACAAAAATCACTAGATATAGAAAAAAAACTACATTGCTTATGCAAATTTTGGGATTAAAAATCCGCAGACTTTGTACAAGTTCTTCAATTTTTTTAATTTGATGTACCAGAAATTATTCTTAATTATTATCAGAATTGTTTTCTAATAATTCAACTTCAAGATCACCATAATTTAAACCATCTATTACATACGTAATAAATTATTTTACTGAAAAAAAATATTCCTCACTTAACATTATACTTCTTTTAATTTTTAATAAATTAAAGCAAGATTTCATTTAAAATTGACGAGCTAGAGCTTGAGGCTATGGTAAAATTACGTCTTTATTTACCTAAAAATTTCTTTTCTAACTGCGGGGTTAGACAATACTCTCTATATGACTTATATTTTCTTAAAATTCTATTCACGGCATCTACTTAGAAGGTGCAGTTAATCCTAATTATATATTTATAATGTCATGTCGTAATTCCAAACAAAAAAATCACAATTGAAGACAGAATGGTTGAAGTTTATTATAGAGTTTTTAGTAAATTATTCGATGACGTAATTTTATTTCTTTGCTAGCTAGAATGCAATGCTTGCTAGCGTTGGCGTTGTTTATGGCAATGGTACACCTCTGGCAGCTTCGGGTTGAAAATCGACGCTTTAGCAGACATCAGAATGCAGCATTTTGTTAAGTTTTTAAACACTGCATCGACAATGATAGAATATTATGAAATTTTAGAATTTAGGGTAATTTAAGGTTTTTCTTATATTTGTAATTGTATTATTATGAATATTTCTCAACATTCATAAATTGCTAAATCGTGTTCGTATTCACAAAATAATATATAGTAGCTCGGTGGCGTAGTGGATAAGCGCCGCGGCCTGCGATCGTAGTCGTTAAGCAACTTTCGCTAGGGTCGGTCACGGGATGGGTGACCAAAAAATTATTAGCTCGAGCTACTCCGTGCTTCGGAAGGCACGTTAAGCCGTTGGTCCCGGGTGCATTTGCAGTCGTTAATACCCTCCAATCCACATTGGGCCAGCATGGAGGGTCGTGGCCCATCCTCTTTAACCATACATAAGGAAGGCCTGAGCTCCTGCAGTTGGTGACGTAAAAGGGCTGATTATGATGATGATGATTCGGGCCGTTCAAATCTGACAGAAGCTCAGTTAAGCACCTCACGGAAGTATGTTAGTAGACGATTTCCTTCGAGTGTGGAAGTCTAAATTAAAATATGTATATATTTTTTTATATCAATAAATAAAACTCCACGTATCTTCCGTCAGACATGTACTGACCGACTTTTATAGACAAAGAAAGAGATCAGACAGAAAGCGCTCGGTCTCAGGAGACACCTAAAAAACGCTAAGCGTATTTAACTGCCCATCGCGAGGCTAATATACTATAAAGTTGAATCTGAAGCATTAACATACATGCAGTATGGTATGAGTATGAAACTTCTTTTGATAGGGAAATGCGCTTGGTCTCTTAAAGAGCTCGCAGCTTGCACAATAGAGATCGAGAAAGTAGTTTCGATTATCGCCAAACCGTGTTGACTTCATACTCCACAGGCGTACCGCAGATAAGTTTTCACAGGGTATAATGAACTAGCTATTTTCCCATGACTTTGCCGCAAAATTATAGCCTATGACATGCGCGTCTGATGTAGCTTCCCGTAGGTCGGAATCGCTCTGCAACTATCGGTCCAGTAGTATTGGAGCAAATTCGATGCAAACAAACAAACAACCAAATCTTTCCTCTTTATAATATTAGTATAGCTTAGGTATAAGGGGACCGATAGCGTAGCGGGTTAGCGCATTCGGTTTAAATTGCGGTTTAAAGTAAATACTGTACAACAAGGACATACATGAATACTTATTTTACATAAATAAGTACAAACGACAAACTCATCGCTAGCCAGCGATGTCTTCCAGACAAACTAGCATTACATGAAAAATAGAACAATAAATAGCCGATTGTGCATACAACTAGACAAATAATAATAATTTAAAAAGATCAAAACAAAAGAAGGACCGTTTAAAGGTACGAATAAAATGCTCAGACACAAGTGACAACTTGAGCGCGAGAAACGAGAAAAAAATAGAAAAATAACATTCGTAAGGACCGTTTACAGGATGGGTGACCAAAACATTATTATCTTGAGCACTGTGCACAACACTGGCAGAATGCACAACACTGGCAGAATGCACCCACCGATCCGCATTAAGCCCGCGTAGTGGGTTATGGCCCATTGATCTTATTCGATTCGTCTGCATTCATAGGAAAAAAATAATTCTACCAAAATACTTCCCACGCAGACGAAGTCGCGGTCACAGCTAGTATGGGTAATAAAAAGGTGTTCTATTCGCCAAGCTTTTCATTATAACAGTAGTCAAAATTAGCTTGCTGTGTGGATACACGTCTTGAGAATACAAACGACATATACTTGCATTATACGTTTATTATAAGGCTCTTCTCCTTTTAAATAACAATACAATTATCTATCATCTGGTTTTTATGCATCAGAATAAAAAGTAGAACTGAAAATGAAAAATATAAAAATTAATGCTAATTGAGCAATCTATTGTAACATATGCTTACTTAAGAATAAATAAAATATACTTGCTTCAGGATCAGTATTATATGAGCATTTGTGAACATCGAATAATCTCTGACAACTGCTTTTATCAGGAGTATCTGAAACAATAATAATATAAAATTTTAATGAAACAAATACTCTAATTTACGACATTTATTCTAATTATCGTAAGACATATTATCATATATCGAAACTAAGTTAGTCATTTTAGAAAACTTACAGCAAATAAAATTAAATAATATTACGTAAACTATAGCCAGTTTAAATGACAAAAACTCATGTGAGCTACCTACTTTTTTGTAATTGCTAACACTACTAGCATAGTCTTATGATATTTGTGCTAATACATATATTAATATAACAGAAAAAAATTATTACTAAATCTAATAAAAGTTGTAAAAAGCAGTTATTTTTTAAATCAAATTACATCACACATGCTTACCCAAATGACGACATCCAAATATCATTTTAGTAACTCTATCTGTGTACTCTTCGGGAATAAAGCTGACAAACATATCATAATCTACCACTCCATCATCATCAACCTGTTATGATAATAAAGTTGTTATTTTCTCATGAAAATAGATATAATATAAATAAATGAAGTTCAACCCTCCCAGGACTACTATCCAAGATAATACATAAATATGAAAACGTACATTACAAAGCATACATTCAGCTACATCAAATAATCTATTATATGAGCACGATATGAGCACGGTAAGTAGGGCACACAATAATATAAGACACGACATATGTCGTATACTATTATGACATAATATTGTCGTGTGATTTCGATATAGGTGTAAATGGCACTAGACATGTCCATCCATTATCAATAATAACACGCAACACAATGTTCAAAACAAAGATTCTATACTTTTTTTATTAAAAGCAAACTTTAAATATAGAGTTGCATGTTTCTAATGATAACATCATCTAATTGAAGGCGCAAAATTAACATCAAAGAAACACTGTATAATGTGTAATAAACACATAAAACGACAAATCACTAATCAAACAGTAGAGATTATGCAGATATAATTTTATTTATTTGGTAGGTCGATCTATAAGCAATAATTTCTCATCAATACTTTTTATATCAAGTTAATGTTTTCCACAAAATGAAAGACTTGTAGGCTCGTTCAGCTGTATCATCTCTGAATGCAAAGGAAACGAATCGAGTTAAAAATAAATTAAACTCTTGTTTGTTTCTAATTTTGCAGACAGGGGCGCCGCGGATAGGGAGACAAACAAAGAACTCACGAGGCTCGCTTCCTCCATCAGGCAAAACATATAGCACTTCAATTTCTCGTCCTCCTTAAATATGCCCTTTTCGCAATTCTTTATGTCCTCTGGGGGCAAAAAGTACAGATTACTTAATGTTTATACAAACATTGTTAGTTCATCGCTAGTGAAACTGTTAAGAAATTATTACCTTTCAGAATCTACGCATTAATTGAAAATTTGAATTAGAAGCTTAATAAATTTAAATTGTAATATGATTGGCAATAACAAAATTGAGAAACTAAACAAATAGTGTTCAAGAAATTCTCGGATGCAGATATAGTTATGAGAATCACTTTGATCACCCTTTTTACTGTTTTCTGGTTACATCTTTTGTAAGAGCAAGACGTATACAATTGACACAGCTGCATAAATTTGTTTATCTTTGTCATAATTTTGTCAAGTAGTTTTATCATAACCATTGTACCTGGAGAATGGGTTAGAGCAAAGCACTTATTGCTATACTTTGGAAAATGTTATAAAACCTATAAATAGTACATATTTTTACACGACTGCTATCCAGAAAAAGGAGTGTATTTTGTTTAGGGTTAATATATGTATATGACCTTCTTTATTCCACCATAACTTTTTAAAGACCTATCGGAAATAAATTTAAAGGGTACTATTAAAAACCTTACATTATCTCGAATACAATTACGTCATTACGAATTGGGTAAAAAAAATCTCTAGATACCGTTCTGGGAAACATTTGTAATATAAGAGGTCCCCTGAGTGCTACAAGAAATTTTGTTTAGCCAAGCCATAATACAACTTGTTTATTTTATATTTAGTTTGATTTTAGCCGACGTGTTTTTTTAATTTTTATATTTTATTAAAAGTCAAAAGTTCTACCTATTTACAGCGGGTTTCCATTCTACATTATAAAGTAATACAAAGATATAGCCAAGCGACTGTCCAATATTTTAATACAATCTAGCCACATCAAAACGAGTAATCTTAAATATCGTATATTGATAACACGCTAACTGATACCGTCGTTTCTTCGTAGATACTAGTACTATGGTAGGTGGATTATCCCTAAGATTGTTCCGGGTCCTCCTGATAGCAAGCAAAACACGTTGAAAACAAAGAGAAAAGCAAATTTTCCTCACTACTCACCCTCTGCCACCCCTGTCTTAGCGACACACTGGTTGTGAACATGCTGTATTATTTCTTTGATCTCATCACTCAGTTGCTAGAATAATAAATAAATAAATATTAGACATCATGACATACATTGTTCAGATTCCAAATTAAGCAGCTAATACCACGAAGATACCACAAATCTAGACCCGAGAAAATAAAGATAAGTTAATTTTATACATTGACTCGATCGGGAATAGAATTCGGGACCTCAGACATTTTGCAAACGACATGCAATTGTTAAAATGAGGTTTAATATTTGTACTTAGCTTTCGTCCTCACTACTTACACATAACCAAGAGGGCTAATAGGCTTCTGGGATTTATAATCAGGACAACTAAAGATTTTAAGAGTCCTAGTAGTGTGTTGTTCCTTTATTCTAGTTTAATCAGAAGCGTACTGGAATATTGTTGTCCCATTTGGTCACCATATTATACTGTACACGTGGATGCATTGGAGAGAGTGCAACGACGATGTTTAAAATAAGTTTCACGCAAATATAATTTTGGTCGGTCACTTTTGGTCACGTGATAGGTTGACAAAATTTGGTATGATTCAGTTGGAAGCTCACCGCAATAGATATGACCTCCTCTGTCTACATAAAATAGTGCATTCGCTTATTGATTCGCCTGGGCTACTTTCTTCAGTTCACATTAATACCGGGCATAAGTCGCGTTACCCTAACATATTTTCGATCCAATTCTACAAAAATAATACGTCTTTTTATAACCCGATTGTAAGAATGTGACGTACATATAACGATTTGAATCGTGATGATGGAATTGTCGATATTTTCAATGACAAATACTCATATCAAAAAATAATAAAAAAAAATATCAGTCAAATTTCTATAATTATAATATAAACACCATTGAATATTTAAATTTTACTGTATACTAGAAGTTATTTAAAAATCTGTTCATGTTGTAAGATTATACTGTTCATGCTATGTACACTGTTTTTAGATTATAGGCTAATCCAAATACTTCAAATAAGTTTTTTAGGTTTTTCTTTTGATTATGATCTGATTGTGTACCATTTATAAATAAATGTAGATTTTCATATATACCTAAATATTCTAATTCTGAATATAATAACTTAATAAAATAAAATTAAAAAAATCAAAAAACTGCCTGCGTGAAAAACAACTGACTAAAAAGACAAAAAAAATATGCAGCATTATACATAACATGCAGTCGGAGGCATGATATTGATAAGTCAAATCAATCTCTCTTTATGCATATATACATATATACATGCAAGATACGCGCGAAACACCCGACTGCAAGGTCGGGTAAAATAACAAGTTTTTGTTTTTTACTAAAATAGGTAAGTAATATTATAATATTAAAAAATCCAAATTTTAGAGACTTGTAGTATTAAATGTAGTATTACCTAATGTTACATGTAATTAGTATTGCATGTAATCAAATTTAATACCCTGCAAAAATTTCCTAAACCATAAAATGGGCATTATTGTACTTTATATCACAAAATAAAACATATAAATTCACAAATAACATTCAAAGTTTTAAACCTTATTTCCTTAAAATCATAATATTGCAGAGAACTATTTTAGAAACAATAAATTAGTTAATCTTTTGATTACTTAATCTTTAAAATGATTACTTAATCTTTAAATAAGTTGAAATTTCAAAATTCTAAATTAAGGTAATGATGCAGTTCCTTCGTATAGATTGTTGAATTTTCAAAAACCTTTTATTAGTAATTAGGTACTTCATGCAAAAAAGAAATATATTGGCGTAAATAAATTTTAAAATAAATTTTATCCTGTTTGTTTGGGCTGTAAGTCAATTATCAAAAACCAAGGGATCTAAACTCAAGGAATGTCTTAGATTAAATTATGATTTTTTAAATCACCACATAATATTTAAAAAAAAACACGTAGAATATTTTCTTTGACAACAACTCAACACCTCGGACATTATTTATATATCGGAAATCAATTCTTTCTTCGATAACTTATAGGCTGTACAAAATTGTTTTGGAAATACATGCCATATTTGTTATTACATATTTTTTCTCAACTATTCAAATGTAGGCTGGTCTCTTATTACTATTCAGTCGCTTTCTGTTGATCTACATGCGTTACCTTTGTGAACACCGTAGGGGGAATAAGTCGCTTCAATATTAAAAACGAGATAACATTCTCAAAGAAAATATTAAGTCGCGAATCCACCGGGACTGCAAGATGCGCATCAACTTGTATCATAACGTTAAATATTAATTTACAAGGTATGGATTCGTGTCCATTGTTAAGAAAGTTCTTGTACTTATATTATTGTTATTTTAACATTACTTTGATTGAACTGGTTATGACGACAGGTCATAACTAAAAGAAACTACTGATTCATTTCCAAATTATCCATAGAGGTTAAATCGAATAAAATCTACTTCAAATGGTAATAAAGGTTTTATTTTATTGAAGCTTTATGCTGTCAACATGAAGTTCGAGGCGTTTTTCCTAATAGTTTAGCTGTGTTCTAAAATATGACATTACACTAACGTAAAGTCGTGTGTGAGGACGACTAGAATCGTGTGTTATTGGAGTTGTAGATTACTGGTTGCATTACGTATTCGTAGTAGACGACATTGAGCAATAGTGTCTCCTAGCTGCCACCGCACTCATCCATCAACTCGCACTTCACCGGCCGCTTCATAAACTAACATGACGGAAAAAAACTGACATCCATGAACATCGACTTTAAACGTTCTTGGTATAAGGGATTTTTTTTGCTAAAACTTATTGTTCACTGGATCTACACCTACAAATAAAACTTCATGAAAACGAATGTAAAACTTTTCTTCTTTGATTTTCGTTTTTACTGCCTTATTTATGTATCTGGTAAGTAAGAAATCTGATCTATCATTTATCAGCCGTACGCCTACTACTGAGAATAGGCCTCTACCATAATTCTAATATATTTTCAATTTTAGAAGAAGAAGAAACTAAGCTTATCGTGGATTGCTTATCAAAATAGCAATATTTATAATCCTACAATTTCATATTTGATTTTAAGATAACTAGAATCCATAATCGCAAGTTTTCTAGAAGTTTTTTTAAATATTCTCACTTTTACTGCATTTTATAAAAAAAACTAAATCTATATTTAAAATATGAAACTATAATCGAAGACTAATGACTTATAA